GGAAGATGAAGAAACCTTAATCTGTTTTGGTCAATTTGGGTTAGCTCATTATCTGGTTAAAGATAATGAAAATTGACTGTATCTGTGTATATGCCTGGTTATCACTACAGCAAAAAGTTATTTTGTGTTGTATTTTTTAAGTAAAGTTTAGTTGTTAATTTAAAACAAATTAAGTTTAGTTAAGTTTTTTAATTTCTTTAGTTTGTTTGATGAATAAAAATAATGTCCTTTATGATTGAGTATTCAATAAATGTTCGCCTTTAAAAAAAAAAATTGCCTGGGTGCACACCCTAATGAAATCTGCTGTGCACGCCTATGCTGCAGTGTATTGAGGAGTGGGCTGCCTGCTGCAGAGACTGGAAGTAGATCTGGTCTAATTTAACTTCCCAATTAATGTTCTGAAGGAGGGAGTACCTAGTGCATCAGTGGCATTTGCAGATGGTGCTAAACTGGAATAGCTGTGAAAACTGGTGAGGGCAGAGAAACAACACAAAGGGTATGGCATGGGGAGATTAGACATAAGGACAGCTACATGAGATGGAGCTTGGCAAAGTGCAAGCTAATACACCTGGGGGAAATATCTGAAACTCTGAGTCCATGAGAAGGGATTGGATACCAGAAAGCAGGAATGCAGGAGACCAAAGGGTTAGTGTGGACAGCAAATTAGACAGGAATTTGCAATGGAATTGGCTGCAATGTATGCATATATATGGCTGAATATTGTATTGATATTGTTCTAGTCTCACTGGTCGATAATCTGGTGGTGGACAATGGTCAAGTGTCCATGTTGGTTTTTTTTAGTCAGTCCAAAGTGCTTGATACCACGGACTGTGACATTTTGTTGACGTGTCTGCAGACCCAGCCCAGAGTGGACAGCAACGTTCTTGACTGTTTCTCTTCCTCCTTCACTGGGAAATCCCAGAGGGTGGTTTTGAATAATCACCCGTGTTTTGAGTAATCATCTCTCTCATGTGAGATACCATGGGGTCTATCCTGTCGCCTCTTCTGTTCCTGCTGGGGAAGATGGTGAGATGTTTGGGGTGAGGTCTTCGGAGCACAGCACAGGGACCGTTCCTCAGATTGGCCCCATGAAACAGTGGGGGCGGGTTTACTCATCCCTCAGCAGCTGTGCAGGGGCTACTCACAATTTGGGCCTTAAGAAATGATGAAGATGAATTTGTCTAGACTGTAGTTGACAAGTGAAGAGATAAAACTCTGGGATATTCCCACATGTGGCATTCAGCATATAGTATGCAAATTCTTCAAAAGATAATGAATGGGACCAGCTCAGATTTTAGGGCAGATGGACAATCAATACTGGGCATCAGCAGAGATGTCTGGGGAGACCGATTGGATTGAGGTGTGCTTACATCTTTGGAACAAATAGGAAACTAAAGTTAATCTGAATAATTCCAAATTCTTTGTTTATATAAAACCTCATGCACATGTAGCATAAAACCTCATGTGAGAGCTGATAAGCTCTTATTTCTCCACATGGAATGAGGCAGAGGAAGAATTTCTGACACACACCAAACCAACCAACCCTGCAGTCTCTTCATTTCATGCATGTGGAAGGCTTATTACGTGTATACAAAGGAATGGCACCCTAGGGGCCTGACCCTGCAAATCCTTACTCGTGTGAGTTACCCATTGACACCATGTGAACAAGGACTGCTTGTGTGAGTCAGGCTTCCTGGGATCAGGTTCCTAAGTTTGGACTTGTATAATGCAAGGGCCGTATTGTGGCTGATATCTGGATGGGTACGCAAGGGAGTGGGAGGGCACAAGAAGCCTTCACCCTGCTTGTGTTAAAAAAAGAACTAGATAAATTCATGGCGGATAGGTCCATCAATGGGTACTAGCCAGGACGGGCAGGGATGGTGTCCCTAGCCTCTGTTTGTGAGAAACTGGGAATGGGCGACAGGGGATGGATCACTTGATGATTCTCTGTTCCGTTCATTCCCTCTGGGGCACCTGGCATTGGCCACTGTCAGAAGACAGGAAACTGGGCTAGATGGACCTTTCCATTATGGCTGTTTTTATGTTCTTATGTCCCTGAGGCGGAGGTGAAAGTGGACCAGTACGGGCCGGTACTCCGTAATGGTAAGAAGTGGCTGCCGGTATGGGTTCGTACACAGCCAATGTTAAAGCACTGCCATGGCAGCGTTTTAACATCGCTGCCCCATTTGCCCCCCCGGGGCCACCAACGGGGGGGGGGGGGGGGGGGGGGGGCAAAAGGGACAGCTGCCCTGGGGCCCGACGATCTAAGAGGGCCTGGGGCTCCTGGCTGCCGCCGCCACTACTACAGCAGCGGCCGGAGCCCCGGGCCCTTTTAAATCACTGCCGGAGCCCTGGGTGACATGGGCCGGGCAGCGCAGAAGGGCTGGCTGGGGGAGGCCGACCCCCAGCCCCACACCCCTTCTGGGGTCCCGGAGCTGGCCCCCATACTGGTAAGCCTTTTATGTTACTTTCACCCTTGCCCTGAGGCATGGGTCAGTCACATTAGCAGCCCCTGCATCCTCCTAAGCTTCCAAGCTAGACAAATTCAGATGGGAAATAAGGCATAATTTTTTAACAGTCAGAGTAATTAACCACTGGAACCACGTACCAAGGGTTGTGGTGGATTCTCCATCACTGACCATTTTTAAATCAAGGCTGGATGTCTTTCTAAAAGATCTCTAGGAACAATTCTAGGGCAGGTCTCTGGCCTGTGCTATACTGGAGGTCAGCCCAGATGATCACAATAGTCCCTTCAGCCTTGAAATCTAGGAATGTCCCAAGTGCAAGGGTGGCTTCCTGCTGGTGCCCCTTGGAGTGCTACCCTGACAATGGGGTGGGGTTCTAGCTCTGCCCCTCCCCCCCCCACTGTAACAAAGGCACAGGGGAGACAGCATTCTGCACTCTCCTAAGGGGTGCTGCAGTGGGTGCTCTGCTGCGTACTTGGGAGCTCAGGGAGGCACAGGAGGGGAGCATTACCCCCAAAACAAGCCTGTCTCAAGGGAACATCCAGTCTTTAGACTAGACAAGTGTGTGGGATGGATGACCATATCAAAACCTTAGCACACTACATTTGCTATCTGTAGCTAAGCAGAGAACAAAGCCCTGCTGCTTTCACAGGTGGAATCAGCTCTCCAGCTCAATACATTTTGCATCCTGCAATGCTGAAGTTTAGTCCTGGGGAAATCAGATCACTTCCCTTCTTTATTGCTTTGATAGTCTCCATTCCCAGTGTAATATTGTTTGCGGCTCACAAATGGGCCTTCCATTCTTACCTATGCCAGGCACACTTGTGAATACACCCTGGGTAGATAGTGTATATGTGCAGCGAGGAAAACTCCTGACTGCATGGGTGAAGGGCTGTTGCACTGTCCTGTCATCAAGTGGCAGAATAGAAAGGAAGTCAGGAGCTGAGAGTAAGTGTAAATTTGAGCACAAGTGCTGTTGCTTTCACAAGCAGCCTCTCATGGCAGCAACTGCAGCTTCACCTTGAGAGACAGAGGCTTACTCTGAGGTCAAGCACCTCCGATGGAGAAAGATAAAAGTGCTCTAGCAGAGAGAGAGGAGAGAGAGCTGTCCCCATTGCAGCTCACCTTCCTACTGTGCTACCTACTTGTTGTAAATGTAATTATTGTCATGAGCTTGTTTGTTTATTTTTATTGGTCTTAATTACCTCTTAAACAATCCTGTTCAGTAGCACCAGAGGAAGTGTAATGGGTGCCCCATAGCTTGGGGTAAGGTGAATGGATGGCTATTCATATTGTTAGCAGCTCCAGCTCCTACAGGCTGGAACATAAAGAAAAAGGACCGGAAGATTGGTTGGGACTGGAATGTAGAGGCTCTCTCCACTAGGCTACCAGTCTGAATTTGACTCAAGCTGGTAGCTGTTACCATCTCAGGGCCATTCGGCAGCTCTCAGAAATGAGGCAGTGCAGCCCAGTTCCCAGTGTTTCCAAGTCATAAGAAACGAGACCATATTGTACAACAGTTGGTCCCCTTGTTTGCAGTCTCACCAGAGGCCAAAGGCTGAACAAACCATGTGTGACAAAGTTCTGTCCTTGACTCCGTGGATCCTGCGTTTCCTGACGGATTTTTGCTAGCCTCAGAGGCTCACTGTGACCCTCCACATAGCCCTTCTCTCTCTAGAGGCAAGGGTCACAGTCTACTGAGCCATTTTCATCATAAGCCAGCAAGGGAGGTGAGGAGAAACAACCCTCCCTCACAGTGTCTCTGTTGTCTCCCAGGATCAGTGATTAATCAGGGAGGGGAGAGGGGGAGCCCGGGCCCGCCCTCTACTCCAGGCTCCAGCCCAGGGACCCTAAACTTAGCAGCTATGAAAGCTGACTTTTTGGCAATAGGGCGTGTACAATTCCCTGGGCTACTTCCCCACAGCAGCCCCCTCTCAATATCTTCTTCACAATTACCTCAGGGCCTCCTTCCTTGCACCTGATATGGATTCATACTACTTCATTCCTCCAACAGCACAGCTCCCTCCTATGGCTCCTGACACCCACCCCACACTGACTAACTGAGAGGCTTTTAACTAGTTCCAGCCAGTCCTTAATTGGCTTCAGGTGTCCCAATCAATCTAGCTGTCTCTCCTGCCTTCTAGAAGGATCTTAATTGGCCCCAGGTGTCTTGATTAACCTGGAGCAACTGCCATTTGGTTACCATGGTACCAGGGATTTGTTTAGCCTGGGGCTAACATACCTGTTCCTCACTACTTTACTGTAGCCATCTGGCCTTGTCCCATCACATATGGAGCTGCACTTCCATCTCGCCTCCTAGAGATGTTCCAGTCCGATACAAGTTGAGGCACCCCTAGCCATCATAGTATACTTGTGTTGGCATCAGCTGGAAGCAGAGGGAGGAACAAGGGGACTTTTGGGAAATAGCACTCATTAAAATGCTCTTTGTGATCGCAAATAGCTGTTCCTACACTAACCTTTACTCCTCTCTTTTTGTATCTGCCGCTGTGTGTTCCCTGGCGTTTGGACTTTCAGAGCAGCAAGGGCTTTTGGAGAGTATCTTTCACAAAACCACCCTGAGGGCAAAAACGGCTCAGGTAAGAGAAATCTTGTGTGACCTTTATACTGATGTGTGGATGGTGCTCGTGTGTCACAGTGGACTTTATACCAGATGCCCTATTCTTACAAAGAGTCAGCGTGGGGTGTCAGCATCTGAGAGGGGAGGGCCCAACCCCTTGGAGCCCATTGTTAAAGCACTTTAGAAGAAAAGGCTGAGATAATCTACACATGATGAGTTGGGGGTATAAGTTCTGTTCATAGAGGACAAGTGCCATATCACAAAACCATCATGACAGCTGGCCTCCCTTGAAGGAAGTCTCAGCAGAGAGGATAAAGTCTGAAATGCACAAGGAGACTGAGCTGGCACCTCATGCTTAGGCCTTGTCTTCACTTGGAGAAAAGGTCTGTTTTAATGTGTTAAAATCCTAGTGCAGGCAAGGCAAGTTGTAGTGTTAACTCATATTCATTGGTTGAGATAAGCTCTAGGCTTGCTCCTAGGGTTTACCTTCACCAACGTGTTAAAATTACAGTTACCTTGTCTCCATTAGGATTTTAGCATGTTAGATAATGTGTTAAAATAAAAACACACCTGTGTAGTGTAGACACCCCTAGAAGTGGTCCCTTGTAAGCATGTAGGTGGGTGTGGCTCTCCGTCGCCGTCGGTCTCCGAGGGAGCCACGCCCCTTTGCTACATCCCTACAGATCAGTGTTGAGGCATTTTGATGGGAGAAGCGTGCCCGGCTGCTCCCTTTGGTGTCCCTGTTCTGTAGAGAAAGACAAGAGGCTCCAGAGATGTCGATACAAAACCTTTCACTAGCAGTGCAGCCACTAAAAACCCTCATGAAAACATCAGGCTCCTCCACAGGGGAGGAAGTTATTTAATAGGACGTAAAACCTAGGATGTAAAACCTAGCATTTGCAATTTGGGGCCTCAGCAACACAGCTGACATTTTGCATGTGTGGGGAAATATCTTTTGCCCCAAATGTATTTTATACATTTGCATGTGTGGGGAAATATCTTTTGCCAGACAGCCAGATAACTCCCTGCTTAGTCAGTGCTGACAACCTACAGAATTGGTCTGCCTGCTGAAGTATATTGATTTAAAACAATGCCCCTCCTGCTATATATTCTCTTCCCCATTCACAGAGTGTGATGTCCCTTTGCATTTGTTAGGTATGATAGTCTCAGACAAAATGTCTCTGGGATGCCGATGATTCATAGGTACCAAGGCCAGAAGGGACCATTGTGATCCATGAGGAGATCAGTAATGTCTGCTTCAATGCCGCATGCTATGGAGAACAGGCAAGTGCCTTCAGCACAGTTGCCCTGACACTGACCTAGCAGGAATAACAAAGAAACGATGGTTTTAGTATGCTCAGCATCACTGTACATTGGGCGGAAATGGAACTAACGGAGGCTCGTTATTCTCAGAACCTGTTACATGTATATGTGCACTTACAGTGGTGCATGCTCAGAAAGATGGTCTCCTGTTTCTGTTCCCATGTTCTTGGATCCATATTAGCCTTGAGGGGACAAATCCGAGTGCTTGTGAAACTATCTGTCTGTGGGCACGGATCGGACAGTGAAAGGGTAAAATAAATTTACTTGTGCCTGGAGCCCTTATGGAAAAATCGTAGAGACTTTAATAGGAACTAAATCAATAGGGTTCAATAGAAATTGGTCTAAAAGCCTGTAGAATATAATAGAGAATGCAGTCTTTTTTCCATAGATTTATTAATCATTCTATATAATTTAGCATATTCTGTAGGATATGATGGAGCAAAAATCATTACAGTAGGAAGGTTATTCTGTTAAATGCAGTAGGGATTTTGTGGGTGCAAAATGTGGGCACAAGTTTCTGTTGTCCCCACAAGCAGAGAGGTCAGATATCAGCCTTTCTGCAAATGTTCCATGCTATGGGTTTGATCCTTGAGCACTCTGTCTTTAATCCAGCAAAGCCCTTAAACGGTGTGCTTAACTTTAAGATAATAAGTAGTCCCATTGACTTCAATGGAATAAATTAAATGCTTAAAGTGAAGCTCATAGAAGATTAGGGTTGGAAGAGACCTCAGGAGATCATCCAGTCCAACCCCCTGCTCAAAGCAGGACCAACACCAACTAAATCATCCCAGCCAGGGCTTTCACAAGCCGGGCCTTAAAAACCTCTAAGGATGGAGATTCCACCACCTCCCTAAGTAACCCATTCCAGTGCTTCACCACCCTCCTAGTGAAATAGTGTTTTCTAATATCCAACCTAAACCGCCCCCACTGCAACTTGAGACAATTGCTCCTTGTTCTGTCATCTGCCACTACTAAGAACAGCTGAGCTCCATCCTCTTTGGAACCCCCCTTCAAGTAGTTGAAAGCAGCTATCAAATCCCCCCTCATTCTTCTCTTCTGCAGACTAAACAAGCCCAGTTCCCTCTGCCTCTCCTCATAAGTCATGTGCCCCCAGCCTATACTTTATTGCTTTGCTGGATTGGGTCCAGAGTGCTCATCATCTTGCAGGATTGAGCCTCGTGTGTATGTGATTGCACAGCATGTGTGTGTGCACTATATGTGAGGCTGTGTTGTATATGTATTGGCACACTGAGAGTCATCGATTGGTGAGACCTGCAGGCTTTTTAGTGTAAAAACTGGTGTTATAAAAAGGGATCATAGGTTGCTCTTTTTATTATTGACTATTTATACTGTGGTAGTGCCCCGAAGCCTCAATCAGGATCCAGGCCGCAGTGTGCTAGGCATTTCACAAATGCATAGTGAGAGACAGTCCCTAACTTAGAGTCTACCGACTAACTTAAAACCAGACAAAACAAGTGTGGGTAATGGGGTAGGGAGGACCAGTATGGCAGTGATAGAAACACCTGGCTACGTAGACTAGCTGTGCACGCAGCATCACCACTTAACTTCCCACGCTGCTGGTATGATGAGAGAAACAATGGTGGGGAGAATTTATATTCTATTTCCTTGAAGTGTCAGTAACGGGCATTGCTGTTTACACTCCTTCACTCATGGGGATATGACTGATTCTGAATGATAAGAGAGGCCACATATATGATAAATCCTCAACTGAGAGAAACTGTTTCACAGAACCCCTACTCGCACCCCATTGTACTAATCCACCCGGGTATCCCTTCGACAAGGGGACTCACGCAGCCATGCACACGCTGCTGGCCAGCTGTTTTAGTAGCACACTGCTAGATTGAGAGAGAGCTGAGGCATCTCTTTCAACCCTTGCTTAACAGAAGTAGGAGAATCCTTCTTGTTACCCATTTAAATCCCAACCAAGTCAATTATAGATTTCCCCCCCCCCCCCCCCCCGGTTTGTTGGACGGCCTTCATCCAGTCTCCCTGCACAGCAGAGCTCTCCTGAGCACCCTGACTCATTCTCCTGTCTGGGAGTGCCTGAGATATGTCTTGGCTTTGGAGGTGAATAGATTTTTGCCATCTGCAAACCACACTTGTTTCCTCTGGTGGGAATCTGGCAGCTTCTTTCTGCAGGAGAGAAAGTTTCCAATGCTCTCCTGCCTATGTATTCTTCCAAACACAGCTCTCGTCTCACCCTTAAGGCATGCACTCCAACAGTCCATGCTCTTTGAAGAGCGCTTGCCAAACTCTAACAAATTTTGCTATCTTTCATCCATTCTCTTGAAATAGCTGGGCAGTTGGTCTGTGCTCCCTTTCTCATGAGTGCTGATTACTAGGATTGTGTGTTGATTTGTTTGTGGTTACAGAGATGGTTGTGTTTGATCAGAAACTGCCTCCTTTCTCACTAGCCTGCTCCTATTGTCTAGTGCCAGAGCCTGTGACACAGCAATCACTTTGTGGGGATGGTTGTGACATCACAGAATGGATCAGATGATGGCTAAACTGGAGTTTATTTTCAGGACTTGAAGTATTTGAAATACGCATTCATGTTTCATATATATTTCAGGAACCCTGGTAGAGACAGCATGGGTAGTCCTGACAACTATGGGAAACATGAATGTGTATTTCACTGCAATATTTTGGCTCTAGATTTTTTCTATGCAAATTATATTTTTCACTTATTGAAAAAGAATTTCCATTTCTTCCTCTTCCCTCTTGTAACTCACTCTATTTTCATTGTTCTGCCTGCCTGCCTATTGTTTTTTAACTGCCCCCCCCTTTCTTCAGTCTAAATTGCTCCTCTGTCGCCTTCCTCCTACGTTCCACCTTTACATCCACTCCAATCGGTCCCTGCTCTCTCTCTCTCTCCCCCCCCCCCGCCCCCCAAATTCACTCCCCTCTGCCCCGGATGGAGTCCCAGGAGGGCAGAGGGAGCTGATAGGGACATCTTCTTGCCCCTAGGATCAGACTAGTCCTGCCTTTTCCCACTAGAGTCAGGGGGAGCCAGAGGCACTCAGATACAGCAGTGATAGAAGCCTTATAGCTCTCTGGGTAGACACTTGGGTAGCAAGAACCTCATTCCCCTAGAAGCACTGGGGACAGGGTTTCCTCTTCTTCTGAAGGAGGAAGAGCTGGCAATGGTGCAGACTTCATGCTGAAAGGCAAGCAGATAGGAGTCTTCCAGCTGGGATGCCTCTTCTTTTCCAAGTGCAGCTAAGCCTTCAACTCCGAGGCAGAAACCTGGAGCCTCAGAGACTCTCCATCCAGACACAAGCTCCTCCATTGAGATGCCAGCAGCATTGACATCCTCTGAATTCATTCCACCTGTGCCACACCCCATGATCGGAGTGTGATATTCCCTTTTGGTTTTGTGTTGACAGGGGCTGGGGAGGGAAAGCGGCTGAACCTGTGGCTTTGGCAGTTCCAAACTGTTGCTTCATGTTGCACCAGTGACCTGATAATCTATTGTCTTTCATATGTAGCTTTTGCCTTTGGAGTGTGTGTGTGTTCACGTGCATGTGTCTGGAGAGTTTGTGTGTGTGATAGGGCAGGGACCTGGGGGTACGATAAATCATTGCAAACCAATTGTATATCAGCAGGATGGGCCAGCTGCCACTCTCTGGATGGTTTGGTGAGCTGTGATTTATTTGGAAGGCGTTGGTTGGGGTG